AAGAAAAAAGGCAATGGTGGGAAAACGGTCTGTAAGAGCAGAACTGATTTGCAGCCGTGACAGGAGGATTTTGAAATGCTGGAAGCAGCTGAATCACTCAAGCAAGCAGAGACAGGATTTGTTTCTGTTGCAGAATCAAATTAAGTCTGATGTGGCTAAAGGCCAGTTTACAAGCTCCCTTGAGGAATCAAGCCAAGTGCCCTTTCTACTTCCACTGTCAAATGCCCCCACTGATTCTGCTGACCCCGCGGGTGCCCATATCAGCAATCAGAGGAAGCTGTGGACAGATGGATTCTGAAGATCTGACTTGGCCCTAAGCTGGCACCAAGAAAATGGAGTTCTCAAGATGTGCTAGGCTTCCCATTAGTATTGTCAAGTAAATTTTGGCTGTCTCTGGACATCATAATCTTGTATCAGCGACAAGACAGTTACCACCATTTTAGTTTGGGGGGAGATACAAGACCCACCATTGTCTGTGAAATCTTCTTTAATTTAGAGTCCTGATTTCCTTTGCTGTTGTTCTGTGTTTTGTTTATTTGTTTGTTTGTTTACCCTTTCACTCTCTGTCTGTTCATCCGAGTCCTTTTCTCTTTCCCTTCCCGTGCCACCTTCTTCAAGCAAAAAATCAAAGCAATATTTTCCATGGAATGTCCACATACTTGGTGTTTCCCAATACCAAGAGAAAAATACAAGAGCAAAATTAGAATGTAAATAAAACATAAATATAGCATACTCTTTTGATCTTTATTGAGCCTAATTTTATAAACTTCATCCAGGCCCAGTTGATGGAAGGATAGGTTTTGTTTGATTTTGAATTTGGAAATCGTTCTGCTTACACTCTTCTTTTCCTCCTAGTTGTGTTGCTTCAGGTTGTTTCTGAAATATTAGAACTCAGTTTTTACTACTACATCCTGTCTTAAGACAATGAGGAAGAAAAAGATCAAATTAGAATGTAAATAAAACATACATGATTTGGCTTTTACTGAACCTAATTCTGCTGCCTTCACCAAGGCACCAGCCTTGCTATTCTATTTTTCTCAAGACAAGCTTTAGTCTCTGATTCCTTTGAAATATTTTGTAATAATAATGTTATATTTGTATGGGGCTTTATAATGAAGAAAATATTTCCATATGGATTATTTCATTTCTTCTTACAGGGAAACTGGAAGAGGGAGGATGGATGGCCCCATTTTTGAGGGAGGAAACTGATATTCATAAGAATCAATCCAGATCTTCAGAATTCAATCTACTCTTTTTTTCACACCATTGTGGCACAGAGAGCCACAGAAATAGATTTACTTTTCTTTCTCTCTTGTCTCTTCCTGGTAGATGAACATTAGGATCTTGGTCTTTGCCCTTATCTCCTAATTAAGGACTTATCATGATCTAATTAGAGAATGAGCTATGGCCCCATATGCTGTTAGGTAAGAAGTTACAATATTTAGCTGATTAGTGACTAAATTAATAGAAAAACTTGAAGAATAAGGTGATTGTTAAAGGTATAAAGTTCAGTCATGAGTAGCAAAATAACCCCCCGAAACAGTGGGTTAAACAAGAAAGTTTACTTTCTCTGCCATGTAACATTCTGGCAGAATGGGCTGGTACGGTGACTCTGCTTTGCATATGGCCCAGAGACCTGGTTTCCTTCGAACTCAGAGCTCTGTCAGCCTATGGCGTGGCCATGATCCTTATGTGCAAGGCAATATCCTCAATCCGGGCAACAGGGTGGAGGGAATCATAAAGATAAATCTATGAATAAAAAAGATTAAAATTCTCACTTTTATGAGGGAGATGGTAATGAACTACGTAAATAAGCAAATGTATTATACTACACGGTTATAAGTGCTAAGGTTAAAGACAAAGCAGAAAAGGATGCTGGGGATGAAAGTATTATAATCTGAATGGGGTAGTTAGGGTGGACACACTGCAAATGTGACATTTAATGGATAACTTGACAGGGGTGAGGTGGAAAGAGGGATATCTGGTGGACGAATGTCTGTGCCAGAGGGAACAGCAGGTGGGAAGGTTCGGGATGGGGGTGAGAAGGGGAAGATTGATCTTGATTTGTTTGAGGCAAAGCAAAGATGCTAGTATAGTTGGAACAGAGTGAGCAAAGGGAAGACAAACAGGAGATGAGATGAGAGAGGGAAGGGGAAACAGATTACATATAGGCCATCATCAGGGCTTCAGCGTTTAAGATGAGAAGCGATTGGTGGTTTTGGGCACAGAAGTGACATGATATAAGTAACAATTAATAGGAACCTCAGCTGCCATGCTGAGAAATGCCTATAGGGGAGGCAAGAGGAGAAGCAGGGTGATCAAATAGGATGCTATTGCTGTCATTCTGCAGGGTTGGTGGCGGCTTGGCCCAGAGTGATAACAATGGAAGTAGTGAGTAGTAGTTGGATTCTGGATATGTTTTAAAGGAAGAGAGCATTAAATTTATATTACTGTGTAAACAAATTTACTACAAACTTAGTGCCTTAAAACAACACAAATCTATTATCTCACAGTTTTCACTGGTCAGGGGTCCAGACATGGCTTTCCTAGGTTCTCTGCTTGAGATTGTCTTCAGACTGCAATCAAGGTGTTGACTGGGGTCCATTCTTATCTGGAGGCTTGATTTAGGAAAAATCTTCTCCCAAGCTCATTCAAGTTGTTGGCAGAATTCTTTTCCTTGTGACAGTAGAACTCATGGAGGCTTGCTTCTTCAAGTTCTTCAGGAGAGCCTCTAGCTCCAGTCTGCTAAGAGAGTCTGTTATCTATATAATGTAATGTAATCATGGGAATGACATCCATCACCTTTGCCTTAGTCTGTTGGTTGAAAGTGTCACAAGTTCTGCTGTCACTCAAGGGGAGGGAACTTCTGGATACTAGGAGGCTGGAATTATTGGAGGTCACCCTAAGGTCTGTCTGCCACAACGAACAAAGGATTTTTTTTGTTGTTTATCTAGATGTAGAAGGTGAGACAAAGAAGAGAACAACTGAAAAGTTGGAGTTGCCATTAACTGAGATATGGAAGACTGAGGGAGGAAAGACCAAGAGCTCAATTTTGGCTACACAAAGTACGAGATGCCTGTTACGTATCCACGTAGAGACGTCAAATAGACAGTTGCATTTACGATCTAGAGTTAAGGGAGGAGGTTAGAGATATACATTTGGGACTCATTACATATAAGCTGTGTTTAAAGCCAAGGAATGAGATCACTAGGGAGTGAGGGTAGAAAAAAAACAGGTCCAAGGACTGGGCCCTAGGTTCCCCAACATTAAAAAGTCAGGGGGTCTAGGAAGAAGCAGCAAAGGAGAAGTGAGATAAGAGGAATATGTGAGAGTGTAAAGTCCTGGAAATGTCAAAATTGACTATAGTGGAGCAATTTTAAATGCAGTCGGAGCTGCCTTTCCAGAGAAACTGCTTTGCTGTCTTGAACCTTGGGCTGGGCCAAACCTTCGAACTGGGCCAAAGAGGCAATTGTTTTACAAGCAATTGTTTGAGAAGTCAGCAGGAGAATGGACATCCTGATCACAAAGACCGAGGATTGTGAAATTCCTGAAGACAGAATCAATAGTCAATCAATGTTTAGCCAAGACTAGCTTCTGCCTCCAACTCCAATTAACATTCTTTGTAATACAACCTCCCTTCTTTACCTTTAAAAGCCCCTGCCTTTTACTCCCTAGTGGGATGCTCTTGGAGTTTCTACCTGAATCTCTGCTCCCTGAATTGCAATTCTTTGATCCCAAATAAACACTTTGACTCAAACTGCTTTCTGTTTCTGAAGGTTGACAGAAACAAGGTTTGATTTTGTAGTGAAAGTTTAACAACCAGATTTGCATTTTTCACCAAATAAGCCAAACTAATTTATCCCGAGTGTGGGCAACGTGGTCAGTGGGAGCATGTGAACTGTTTTATCTGGGGACAGACACCATAAAAGAGCAGGCCACTCTGTAAATCATACACCCTCTCCGGTGTCAGGTGACATATGTCATGCAATACCTCAAAAGCGAAAGGTTTCCAACAGTGATAAGAGAGTGAGTCTTCCCTTAATGAGTTAGATGTGGATAAGAGAGGCATTTTTGTTCACACCCTTCTGACAAACGTCTATTTCAGTATCCACAGACAGAAATCATTAAAATGTATGGCCCTTCTAAGGGCATAATAAATCACCATGGGTTCACCTAATCACATCTTAACTTAAGGACATATTTCAGTACATTTTACTTTGGATAAAATCATTTCTGCTCTTATAGAACACAAAAATAATAATAAAATTCTAAGTGGTTAAAATAGAAACAAAGACTCCATTTGTGCAAATTCAGTACATTATAATGTAATTAGTATTGTAGATAATGTAAATATGCATGTACATCCACTGTGTAGTTAGCCATATATATTGAAGCTACGTTACTAGATTCCTAGTCCCTGTTACACATAAACAAAAACCCATATGTTCACTTAGAAAAAAATATATTTCTCAAATTTCCACTCAAGTGTTTCTTAGGTATCTTCATTCCCCAGCAAAGTCAGAATTGTGCCCATGTGACAAATTATTAAGCCTATTTCTTATTTGGGTCGCATTGATTTAGAATTAATCATGTTTTGAAACAGCGTGCAAAAAATTCTATCAGCTCTCTTACACAAATTAGAGTATAGTCCTCATTTATCAAATGAGGAAACAGAAACAAAGAGATCAAGAACTTTCTCTGAACGCAGAGGACCAAACGCTGCGCTTGGGCCGTGAGGCTGGCTGGCTTCTGTTGGACCACACAGCTGACATCCGATTGGGGCATGCTGAGTCTGGAAGCAGGAGTTACTAGCAGGGTAATGAAATGGCTGCACTGCCTTTCAGATGGGCCTGGAGGTCAAGTTAGTTTATTTGTTTTTAATTTAGCTAAATTATAGGGTGGTTGAAAGATTCCTTTGTCGGTAGGGATCTTTTGAATAGCCACACAAACCTTTTGGTTTCTCTCTCTCCTTTTCCTCCAACCCTTTCTCCCATTTGCAGGATTAAAAAAGCACTTGGGAGGCACGTTAATCTTGCTGGCGTTGTCAGGAGCGATCAGTGAATTTTATTAAAAGCCCCGGGATTGCCTGAAAGGCCTCCTTGTCTGAGTTTGAAATGAAAGGGACATGTTAAGATCTTGGGGCACATTATTGGGACCCTTTGTCCTGTCCCTTGGACTATGAGCTGACACCCCCCGAGGAAGCACAGAAGCCCTCCTTTGTTGAAGGGATTTCACCGCTGGACGCTGGACGGAAGGAGTTGGCCCTTGTCAGCATGAGCTCTCTGAGTTGGGGTGGGCTGAATGCCCTGCTGCTGCTGGTCCTCCAAGGCTGGGCAAGCCCCACCTTCATCAGCATCAACCGTGGAGTCAGGGTGATGAAGGGCAGCTCTGCCTTCCTGTCTGGAGATGACCTGAAGTTTGCCATTCCCATAGAGAATGATGCTTGCAAAGTTGAAGTGGTGATGAATGAGCCAATAACCCAGAGAGTTGGGAAACTCACTCCACAGGTAGGTCACTCTCGAGATATTCTATTTAGTAGTGTGTATGAATGTGAGTGTATGAATGTGAGAGAGGGAAAGAAGGAAAGAGAGAGGAAAAAAAACAAGTGTAAAAGGTCTCCCTTCAAGCTACCGAAGGTAAGTATTGTAAGACATTTAAATTTGAAATAGTGGAGTTAGCAGGTATAATATTGCACTGTTTTTCTATACAGTGTTTGTTTGTTTTTTTAAATTGAGGTATAATTGACATATAACATTATATTAGTTTCAGGTGTACAATGTAATGGTTCAATTTTGAATGTTCTTGGCTGACTTTGGATTACAACCTTGAAGTCAACAGGATTTACTCTTATTTATGCTAACACCTTTGGAGGAAGACAGGTTCAAACTAATACAGATGTATGTGTTTTTTATTAATAAAGCACCAAATCAACAAGTCTTTCCAATTTGTCCTTTTTTTTTTTTTGGTGAGGAAGATTGGCCCTCAGCTAACATCTGTGCCCATCTTCCTCTATTTTGTATGTGGGACGCCTGCCACAGCATGGCTTGATAAGCAGTGCGTAGGTCCACACCCGGGATCTGAACCCGCGAACCCCAGGCTGCCAAAGTGGAGTGTGCGAACTTCACCACCACACCACCAGATTGGCCCCTATCCTCTTTTACTGAAGAGACCTTTTGTAAATCTTACTAGCTGCTTGATCTTAGAGAGTAGGTAATTACTCAGGGGAAGGCAGAATGTAAGAGAACTACACACTTCTCATTTTAGGCACCTCACCACTCTATGAGAGAGAAGAGAGAGAGAACAAAACAGGGACAGCCTTCCAAGGGTTGGAGTAGGCAGTCCCTTGTGTGGTGTGATATGGTCAGTCTTTATGGGATTATTCCTGCCCCAAATTATCTCACCTATTGCTAGTTAGTGTGCCTTTGGATAAGATATCAGGATTTCAAGATTTTTAGGACACATTTATGACTGCAGAATAGCAAAAGTAAAACATGAAGACATTTTCGTCTGTTAACATTACTTGGACATTCTCTTGAGTAAGGGGAGAGACATGGAAAAGGGATGTGAAGATACTTTACTTAAATATTCACTGTTCTTCAAAAATGTCTGCATAAAACGTTTTTCCTTTCATCAAAACCTTGGAGACCTTATCATTTAAAGGTATCCTATGATCGATCCTTTTGTAGGGTGAAGAGTTACCCTCTAAATCATTGAGTTTTAAAGTCTGTATCATCATCTATTGTATTTACTTGAAGTAGGCGTATATTTCCATACACAATGGAAAATGGCTTCTGGTTTTATTACTTGTTTCTACTGTGGGTTAACTTTCCTCCCAATGCAAACAATTTTGAGAATATTCAACACTGGAAACTGCTGCTGCTTCTGGAAAAATGCACCATTCCCATTTGTTGAACTGTGAACATTAATCTTCTTTTCCTTTTGGCTAAAGAAACATATTCCATGAGGTTATTCAAAAGCGGTACTAGATGTTGTGGAAACGGACTAAAGAGACTTAGATAGATGCTAGTTCAAACTGAAATCTCTGGACTTTCCATTTACCACACTTAAAGCTATAGTCTAATTCCGGAACACATCAGAATTCTATGGCGGGCTCTCACTCTGGGAGTATTCCTGATGTGCTAGTAACCAAATATCTTCCCCCGGTTTCCCATGAGATTTTCTTTTGTCAGTCAAAGAGCTTAAGATGGGCATCTAAAAGATGTTAGTATACAGTAATGGCCCCAGGTCCTAAGACATTGTATTCTCGAGTGTTGCGTAATTGCAACATCTTCCCACTTTCTCCCAACATAACTTACACTCTGAAAATGTGTTTGATTGGCACCTGTCAGTCAAGGAAAAGGAAGAGACCTGGGATAGCTCATACCTGGAGCCCAGATGCGATGAGTAGGTGACGTGAATAAGCTCAGCTGCAGGCAACAGAGAGCCAACTACAGGGACTGGGGTCAAAAGTAAACCCTTAGGGTTTTGGGGAGCAGCAACATAGGACCCTAATCCTAGAGGACTGGGGTCCCTGATAAAGCAGGGACCCAGGGCTGTACAGATATATGTGGGTCTCTTATAAAGACTGATGAACTGATAATTTGGTATCCCTTCCAATCTATCTATCTATCTATCTATCTATCTATCTATCTATCTATCTATCTATCTTTTTTTTTTTTTTGTGAGGAAGATTAGCCCTGAGCTAACATCTGTTGCCAATCCTCCTCTTTTTGCTGAGGAAGATCGGCCCTGGGCTAACATCTGTGCGCATCTTCCTCTACTTTATATGGGACGCCGCCACAGCATGGTTTGACAAGCGATGCGTCAGTGCATGCCCAGGATCTGAACCTGCGAACCCCAGGCCACCCAAGTGGAGCACGCCACTTAACTGCTATGCCACCAGGTCGGCCCCCACAACCAATACATTTTTAAAAAATTGTTCAACATTTATTTAGAAATGAGGCTGAATATTTTATGGGGGAAGAAGAAGAGAAGAAAAATTCCTCCTGGTAGCATACTGGAGCCACCTATGGTCCAGCTGTAATTTAGCTCTGGCCCCAAGCATGCATACCCCACTGAGCAAAACAAAAGCCTGTTATTCACCAGATTCTTCTTCCCTAGAAAGAAATTTGGGGAGGATGTGCTATTACTTAAGCCATCCCCTGAGGGGTAGCCTCTCTCCATCCCAAACAGCCTATGACTTCTGAACATATATAGCACTTTTTCAGAGAGTAATGGAGTTGTCTCTACTATATATTTTCAGTGATGTTTCATGGTCCTCACCATTTGGCCCGCTCTGAGGCACTGGAGAGCAATAACGAATCTAAGTAACTAAAACTAGGTAAAGAACTTATTTGATCACAAAGATCAAGGGTTGGAATAGATCTCCAAGTCACTGGCTTCTCAAGTTTTCTCTGATTTTAAGGCAAAAATCCAATTTTTAAATGTTTAACGCTGTAACAAGGTACAGGCTCTACATCATGAACTCCATAGTGACGGTGTGTGAATACCTCAAGAGTATTTCTTAGAACTCTTTCTCTGCTTTTAAGGCAAAAATCCAGATAGAAAGACAATATGGAACAGAAACAACAACATGCCTGGCTGAGTAAGGAAAGTCTGGACTGGTAGGGAAGGGAGTGGGGCTCTGAATATCTCCACTGGTCCCCTAGAGTGCTACTGTTCATAAAAAAAACGAGTCCTGAATGTTCACTGTATGTATTTCCAGAGGAAAATCTGACATCTCAAATGGATTTATATCACCTAAAGAAGATATGTGATTTATATCTTCTAAAATTTATTCTGTGGAAAAGGAGTCCATTAAAATGTAGAGTTTCATCACTTTTTTGTCAAATATGAGAAATTTTTATCATAAAGAAATCTCTATTTCCGGAAAACTTTGTTTCTCAAACTGCCAGGTGACCTTCCTATTTTTTTATTACGATAATTTCAACAAAACTGAAATACCCAAGTAAAGTCTGCTTTTCGGGGCAAGTGCACTTCTTTTTAATCCAGGCAGATTCAGCCCTCCCCAGGGATTTCTTTCTTATGGAATTTTTGAAATTAAGCATAACCAAGCACACACACACACACACACACACACACACACACACACACACACACAAAGCCTAAACATTATACTTTAATAGAGCTTACTAGTAAGTTGAAAGCAAGGCTTATGTGAACCCATTTCTAGCGAGACGACTGTATTAATGACATCCTGCTGTGTAATGAACAGTTTGATTTGATTTGCACAGAAAATGTTTTGTTTAACATCTGTTCAATTAGTGTTTTCATTTCATTACTGAAGTTTGTCTTAGGACCAACAGGTTCATTTTCCTATCGAGTATTTGGAAAGGGATTTCACTTGGTGCGCACCAGTACCTCCTGTTTAGATAACCCTCTTGCTATAGTCAATTAGATAAGGTTGATGGCAAGATGTTTTCCTCATGTTTTAGGACAAGGCTTCCTCACACACAGCCCTTCTCACACCTGTCACAAAGCAAGAAATTTTCTGGGTGGAAAAGCACCCCAGTTTAGCACTGATCTTGCTCTTTTGAGCAGGAAATACAGTGGTAAGAAAATATCTCTAGTTTGAACCAGTTTACTGTCATTAAAGTGAGTAATGAGTTAGGAATGTGTGACAATTTAATTATAAATTGTAATTGAAAAGCAGTTGAAGTGGAAAAAAACAAAGCTAGACAGTAATTAGAAAAGGATTTAGCTCTCCTTTGTTTTAGCTAGTAAATTTATGGGCAATTATGGTTGTCGCCTTTTATAAAAGGAAAGCATATTACGAAACATAAAACAGATGTTTCTTTCAACAAAACAGATTGTCTCTTTATTACCATGAGTATTTGTCAATGATATGGGAAGGTCTTCCTTTTATCTCCCTCCTTGTTGTCAATTAAAAAGAGGAACCAATGATGTCTGTGGGAAAAGAAGATCATTTGTATTAGTGAGAGAGTCTTCTCAGAGAGAATTATGCTGTCTGTGAACATTTGAGGCTGTACAGACTAAACACCAGGAACTCAACAGTGACAATGTGTGAATACCTCAAGGGTATTGCTTAGAACTCTACCAAGTTAGATTGGGCAGAATGAGGATCATAGTGCAGTTGGAAGAGAAAATTCCTCTTTTAAAAACTAGGGTTCACAAAATATAACAGTTAGCAATTTCCTTAATAGTTCTGAATGAGGTGATATGATTGATTATAATTTTATTTGAGTAGAGGAAATTGCCTTTAGATTGCTATTTGTCTCATCAACCATTTCTGCTATTATGCAACTAATAAAAGCAGTCTTTCACAAGTCTATGAGAAATGACTGTGAGTCATGTTTGGCTCTGAGCAACCACAATTGTGTCCATAGTCAGTGGCTTCATTTTTGAACATAAAAACACTATTTGGAAAAGAAAGAAATAAAAGGAGGAGAAAAGATATATACAGAACTAATTCAGTGTGCTTATGTGTGGGGTAATGCAGGCCTTTTCATGCATACACACAGGTAGACCTCTCTAACTCAGTTGCTATGAATCCCTGAAGGGTGTGGGTAAATAACATTTTGAAAAATGGAACCATATTTTAAAGGCACTATAGACTGTAAAAAGATAATTATGTAGAGAAATAATCACTCCTTAATATATCTGCTGATCTGCTTGGATTTTCATGATTTCGATATTCTCAAAATAAGACACAGCTGTATAAGCAGGATGGTGAGTGAGCATGGGGGTGGGTAGAGGTGGTGATGGTTAAAACACACACACACACACACATGCACACACACACACAACACTAACCGACCATAATTTCTCCAGGTGGTACTTAGCTGCTGGAAAAATGAAATCTTGTACCAATTTTCTCACGGATATTTATCCATTTCTTCATGTGAACTAGGTCTTTGACTGCCATTTCCTTCCCAATGAAGTAAAGTATGTTCACAATGGTTGCCCAATTCTCAATGAAGACACAGTGAAGCTTAGACTTTACAGGTAAGCAGCACAGGAGCATTGCTCATCTTTGCCAGGTAATCCTTTTGTGTACTTCTTAGGGATTTTTCTGTGGCTAGGTATCATCATGACTGGAGTTACCGGATTTCAAAGAAGAAAGTAAGAAACTGGAGATCTGAGTGGGTGAGGCAAGAATTATAGTCAACTTTCAATTATTTTTATTTGTATCATCTTCCTGGGGGATTTTCTGTGGCAAATGATTAGCCCTATCCTCTTTCCCTGTACAGTTCTTTTACAGGTATCTCTGGTGATCCAGGCCCCCACTTATGATGGGAAATGGAAATTACAAACTACAAATGCTTAATGAGAATTAAGAGGAAAATACATTCCAAAACTCAGTGCAATTCTTCTTTTTGATTATCAGCTGCTTAGATATAAGAAGTGCAATATCTTCTGTTTTTAAACATATTAAATAATAAAAATGTTTTAAAAATCAATTATAAAGTTAAACATAGAGTGGCCATATGACCTAGCAGTTCCACACCTAGGTGTATACACAAGAGAAATAAAAACCTGTGTTTACACAAAAACTTGTACACAAGTGTTTATTGCAGCATTATTCCTAATAGCCAAAAAGTGGAAACAATCCAACTGATGAATGTATAAACAAAATGTGGTATAGCCATACAATGGAATATTATTCAGCCGTAAAAATGAATGAAGTACTGTTACATGCTACACATGGATGAACCTTGAAACCATTATGCTAAGTGAAAGAAGCCAGACCCAAAAGGTCATGTATTGTATGATATTATTTATATGAGATACCTGGAAAGGCAAATCCATACAGACAGAAAGTATATAGTGGTTGCCTGGGGCTGGGGGAGGGTTAATGGGGAGTACTGCTATGGTTATGGATTTCTTTTGGGGATGATGAAAATGTTCTGGAATTAAAGAGTCATGATGGTTTCACAACCGTGTGAATATACTAAAAACCACTGAGTTGTATGCTTTAAAATGGTGAATTTTATGGAATGTAAATTGTATCTCAATAAAAAGTTAATTTAAAAATTAAGCTTATGGTGTGGATATTTCTCACTTCACAGAAACAACTGAGAATTCAGTGTGGGTGGAATAGGTCTTTAGATAGTTTTTCACTTGGTTTTTATTGCTTTTATGAATATTTGGCTAAAATACCTCAGTGTGAATTTACCTTAAGTACCAGACTAATACAAAAGAGTTTTGTAGAAGACATTAGAAGAGAGAATCATTCTATAAACGCTTATGATCACCTACGATAGGTCAGGCCCTGTGCTGGGCACAGGAAACACAAGGATGAGGATACATGGACTCTTGGTGCTCATTGGCTTGATGCAAAAGACGGGTAGATAATTGTGATGCTGAATGACAAGTGCCAAAAGAGAGGCATGAACAAAATTCTGTGCTTAGAAAATGAGATGGCGCCCAAAGATTCCTTAGGAACCTATGCCATCAGCTTATAGGGCTATTTGATCTTTCTAAGACTTTAAAGTTGAAAAAACAAACTAACTTCAAAGAGCTTGCTTGGAAGGGCTGGAAAAGCTGATGAATTCTGGCTGCTTCCATTTCTTCCTTGAGTTTCTAAGAGCCAGAGAATGTGGATGAGCATGTATGAAGGGCAAAGTTAGAGGAGCTGTCATTCTTCTTTGTCTTGAGGACATTTAAAATAGAATATTCAGAGGAGTTGGAAGCAGAAAATCAGGGAGCACATTTATTCCTCTCTTACCTCTTCTTCAGCCCCTTTGGCAAGCTACTTGACCACTCTATGCCTGTTTCCTCATCTGTAAAATGGGATTAACAATGCCTACCCTAGGTTCTTATGAAGATTGAATGAAATGCTCTTTGCAAAGAGTTTAGCTTATGCCTAGATCATAATAAAAGCTCATCAATTAGGAGCTGCATTATTTTTTTTTAAAGAAATGTACCTTTATTTATTTATTTTTGGTGAGGAAGATTGTTCCTGAGCTAACATCTGTTGCCAATCTTCCCCTTTTTGCTTGAGGAAGATTGGCTCTGAGCTAACATCTGTGCCAATCTTCCTCTAGTTTTTTGTATGTGGGTCACCACCACATCATGGCTTGAGGAGTGGTGTAGGTCCACACCCAGGATCTGAACCTGCAAATCCTGGGCTGCCAAAGCAGAACATGCCAAACTTAACCACTATGCCACTGGGCCAGCCCCAGGACGTGCATTATTGATGCACACCCATCACTCATTAATTTCCTCCCTTCAAAAAAGACTGACAACCCACCTCTATTATTCTATGCAAATATCTTGAGGACATAGTTGCTAAGATAATGGAGGAAATGGAAGTAACAATCACCACAATGAGCTGGGCACCCAAACTAGACTGTAAGTGACACTCATGTAGTGGCATTTCTGAAGAGCAAAAAGGCCTTGATGCTTCAGAAACTCTTCACCCCTTCACTCCTGAATTAAAAGTCAATCCATAAATTATACAAGCTTGATAGTCTTAAATTACATATGTGCTAGAAGTGACACTCTGAGCTTATAGCAGTCATTAAATATCAGTATCGATGATGGATTTGAGAGATGGTGTTGAAAGAAAGGTCATTGGAGAGGGAAGTGGCAGAAAAAGGAGTTGACATCAAGGTAAGGAGAAGAAGAGAAAAGAACAGAGAGGTTGGGAGTAGAGTATAAAACAAAATCCAAATTCTACCTAACATACAAATTTTGTGAAGACCAATCTCTAAGCTTTAAGACAAGTAAGTACACAGGTATCAGAAGTACCTGAGCACCATAAATATTACTTTTGCTCTGTTTCTCCACAGATTTACTGAGACAGACACCTTCATGGAAACCTTTATCCTGCGGGTCTATCTCCAGGAACCAGACTGTAACATCATCCGTCTGAGTAACAATGTGCTGGAGGTGTCTGAATTCTATGGCCTGTCCCGAGCCATTGATAAGAACCTGCTCAGCTTTGATTATGATAGGACGGCTAGCCTGGAATGCACAGTCAGGCTGGACCCTGTGGGAACTCGGCTGCCAGCCCACGGCCAGATGGTTCTGGTGGAGCCTCGGCCAGGAGAACCTCGTGGAGATCAGCCACGCAGTTTTCTCCCTGAGTCTCGTATGATGTGTTTTAATAATTATCTGGATGTTACTAAACTGACAAAAATATCTGTAAATGGTCATCTTCCACTATGACAAAGAGTTAATATATTTTGTAGCTGGTTGAAAAATGTAGGTTAGTGGTTGAGATTATGGACTTTGTTATCGGAAAGACCTGGGTTTGAAAATTGCCTCTCAGTTTATTTCCTGCATGGTTTTAGGCAAGTTACTTAACCTGTCTAAGCCTTTGTGAAATGGGCAAGGATAGTGGCTGCTCCACAGGGTTGTTTAAGGATAGGAGTAAATGACACACACATGCACAAAGTGCTTCACGCAGTGTCTGGCTCATAGCAAGTGCTCAATAATTGTCAGCTGTTATTATTAATAGTAGCAATGGCAGTGGTGGTAAAAGTAGTTGGTGTATTTATTAAGTATTATTAGATTATAAACAGGTTTGAGGTAGAGCTGGTGGGTAGTAGCCATGGTTTAAATCAGGGATTGTTGATGTATAATGTTCCTTCTGTTATTTGTTTAATCAACGTATTCTGGGCACCTTCTATATGCATAATAGTGTTCTCGGCGCTATGGGAAGACCAAGAAATATAGGGGATAATCATAGTCGTAATAATACCTTGAATTTGGACAGCAATTTATAGCTAAAGACATGCTTGCACATTAGTCATCTTATTTAGACCTGATGAGACAACTGGTCAACTGTTCTTTTCAGTAAAGGAAATTACAGGCTTTCAGAATAATGACAACCCACTCACTGAGTGATTGGAGGGTACACATGAGTATTCTTGGGACAGTGAGAGGGAATAAGTATCCATGGGAGGGAGGATTGGTTTTTAAATTTCACAATCCTTAATGTTCAAGTGACTATCTTAATTCAACGCTGTACATTCTAGAACTGGGAACAGAACTGAAGTGTCCAGGTAGAAGCTGTACCATGGGACTGAAGAAAATAGGAAGTCTCAAAGTGAGCTGTGAGGAGTTCCTGCTGATGGGGCTTCGATATCAACATATGGACCCCCCTTCTCCCAACATCGATTATATCTCCATCCAACTGGACCTCATAGATAGCAGGAGTAGGATCGTATACAAGGTAGAGTTTGGGGTTATGTGTCTGTCCCCAGCTGATCCGCAGCAAGAGGGCCAGTTGCATGGGGGTGCTCATTCTGGTTCCCGTGCCAGGAGAGCTCTTGTGCTATTGTGGCTGGAACAGCCTAGTGACTCATTGGAACTACAGGCTTGTTTGTTCTGCCAGTAAGTGCTTAAAACAGTAGCTTGTATATATAATATCAGTATATAATTTCCCTTCTCTGACTATCTTCTGACTCTACCATCACCAAGACAACTTAAGACTGGGGCCAGTTACTTGCTAATCTTCTTTCCCCTTTCCCTTTAATATTCCTCATCTTGTCTTTTGATCTGTTCCACCTTCTTTTTGATGCTTCATTTTTCCCTTCTTTATTAGAACCTTTTTTCACCTGTTACAGGAATCAGAGGGTCCACACACCCACTCTGCAAGCCCACTTTTATGATTATAGTAGACTAAATCATTTCACTCTTCCAGCCTTTGAGATGGAGGACTGGGTCTTCAAGGAGGAAGGCCTTCAAAGGCCTCCTCCATCTTCCAACCTCTTTTAAATTCTCCTGCCCTTTCCTCCTCTTGATCTCTTCATATTGAAGTGATGACAGAAAGAGGAATCAATTTATATGAAATATTTAACATGCCACTCTTCTGATACGTGTACTCTATAATTTGTTTATTTGGGTAGCTGGGGCAAATGTGTACCTGCTGAAACAGCTCAGATTTTGTGCTGATAAAAGATGATCCAAGATTACATTTGTGAAAGACCTCCATCATTCACAACCTGACTTCTCACTAGAATTTCTCCTATGAGACCCAAATACTCCAAGGAATTGATGAGACAAGGAATGATAAGGAAATGATAAAACATGATCATAGAATTTTAGAATTGAGATTTGGAAAAATTTTGAGGTAGTCTCATCAAATTGCCAAGGTAAGTCTCTTGGAGAGCTTCTAAAGGATAGTTTTGAGTCTAACAGAAGAGTATGACTGAAGTCATACTGAAGAGCATGAACGCTGGGCCCAGATTGCCTAGGTTGAAATGTCTGCTTAACTAGGTGTGTGACTTTGGACTTGCCTTATTTTTTAAATCTTAAAATAAGGATAATAGTACCTACTTCTTAGAGTAATTGAGAGGATTAAATGAGATAATACTTACAAAGCATTTGGCACGAAGCTTGGAATATAGTAAGCACTACACATATTTTGCTGGTTAAAAAAGCCACTTAACATAACTATTCTCTACATGCCTCAATAAAACAATGTCTATAGCAAATGAAAAAAAAAAAAAAAAAAAGCCACCCAGTAAGAAACCGATCATCAGCTAGGTTTGGAAATAATTGGTTTAGCCCAAGTCCTTTATTTTACGGTGGTGACCAGAAAAATTGCATACCTTGTTCATACGTACTACACGGCTGTTTTTTTTTTTTCACTTTTTTAAAAAAATTTTTTTGTTTATTGCAGTAACATTGGTTTATAACATTGTATAAATTTCAGGTGTACATCATTATACTTCTATTTCTGCATAGATTACATCGTGTTCACCACCCAAATACTA